CTTTATTTTATCCAAAACATATGATAATTCTTAGCATCACTTCATAAACGAAGAGTTTAAATGTTGTAGTTTTATTTGGAAAACAAAAAAGGACAAACTACTTACGGGGGAAAAAAAAAACTACTTAAGAAAGAACAACAAATACTCCAAAAACTTAGAAATTGAATGAACTAGTAGAATTCTTCCTGCATTCGAACAGCGAATCCATGAAGATGTGACATTTGCTTAGATCATTTCCTTTCAAACACTGTAAATCATCAATAAACACATTAAAAAAAAAAAAGACAAAAAGTCGAATGATTGTCGAATTTAAAGGAAGATCCAACAATTAGTTTCAAGATTAGCGACTTACGTCTTGAAATACATTATAGCTGATACTGCATGATTCAGTATAATCCTTCAATTTATCGTTATCGTCTTTTGTAGAGAGAGCAGCAACTTCAACTTTCTCTGGTATAACAATCTCTTGTCTAATGGTTCGAGGACCGAAAATGGCTTCAAAGAATCTGTGTCCCATGTCAAAACCAAAACCTAATAACCCCCAGAAGAAATTAAATCAAACTTCAAATAAATAGAAATGCAAAGAGAAAATTTCTTCATTTAATTAAGTTTATACCATCAGCTATGGATGAAAAAAATCTTCCATTGTTAGCAATAGGAGGAGATTTTTGATCTTTAGCAGGAGGAGGAGCTTTTTGTTCTTTAGCTGCACAAAAATTAACATTAGAGATCATAACATATATAATGTCAAATTGATAAAATTTTGATTATTCAATGTCCCTAAGAAGTGGTTTTTTTTTATATTGAGCACCATTATCGGTGATCTTTAATGAGTGTCAAACCACTAAATAAATATAAAAAAATAAGAAAGAGGAGGTGAGAGAGTAGAGAGGGGTCGGGAAGGTGACACTCTAGAACTTTTGTTTAACACTCACCTACTTACGTGTACTTTTTTAATTGGTTGAGTTTTATTATTTAATTATATAAATTAGTTATTTACCAAATATTAACATTATATTAATGAGAGGTTCACCAATATTGATGCTCTTAGGAGTTGATTTTTTGCTGAGAAATGGCGTAGAGCGAGATCTGGACCATCCAGTTGAATATGATCTGCTTCCTGTATCAAAATAATCGAATTACTTAAGACTAATAATTAGGGTTAACAAACATGTGCGTTTGATGGGACTATCTAATGTGAAAGCCATTTGGTCTAGTGGTGGATCAAAGTTTAAGTGTTTCTACACTAGATCAGATTCGATTTTGAGATAATGCGGTAAGCAATCTCTAATTCGATCAGAAACTAAAACATAGGGAAACTGAAACAGATCGGTCACAGATTCTTATAGGTTTCCATCAAATCCAAAAGCGAAATTACATAAAATTCAAGAGTAATTAAAACACGATTTCAACCCTAGATTGAATGATTGCACGAAGAAGAACTAAATGTAAGAACAATTTTGGAAAGGAAAAGATGTGAATATTTTTACCACCACCGGAGCTTCTACGACCCATTGTGATTTGTGAATATGAAAATATGATTTTTGGGAAATGGTGGCTTTGTTTTATAGGTGTCTTATGCGTGACCTTCAAGCCCTTGGCCCTTAGGAATCAGAGATGCTGGTTTAAGACTTTAACTAATGATCTTATCATG